CGGCTTCCCATTAAGCTCATATACGATGTTCTCTGCAGATGCATTATGCCTGGTCCATTTCACTGCAACATCCTCCAGTGTAACACTCCTCCAGACTGTATAATAATAATGCAGCATGGTATGTTGGTGCACCAGAGAAAATGTAGGGAAGGGGCTGGTCTTGATCTCCAGCATAGCTAAAAATAAAACAGATGAAGATGTCTTTGGTGCCCACCGTCAATCTCAGCAATAGGGAAAGCACAAGATGCACTATGAAGACAGAGTTCTTCCTCTCAGCCCTAACCTGGGGTCTGTCTGGGGTGCAGGTGCAGTCATATCATGCAGCAGATATCTTGCAATTTGGCCTTTTGCAGCTGTGGAACTCAAAGCTTCTAGACACCCTATCCTGAGGAGGTCAATTTGTCTTTAATGAATGGGCTCTATAGAGTCTGATGATGCTTGCGGGCACTATACCAGCTTCATTATTTAGTGGAAGGAATGCTATCAACTTAAAAATTGTAATTTGTTTTAACTTACTTATTCTTCTTAGACAGGGTTGGGCAATTATTTCGAATCGAAGGCCACTTACTGAGTATTGGCAAGCCATTGAGGGCTGCATGACAGCAGCCAGGAGCAGATAAATATTAATTTTCTAAATTTTTTAGGGGCCCTGCGGGCCAGATAGAATGGCCTGGAGGGCCACATCCGGCCCCTGGTCCGCATTTGCCTACCCCTGGTCTTAGAAGTAACGCCTGGAAAGGAATGGAAAGGGGAACCAGATCCAACGTTTATTTACCTGACAGCACCTTGTGCACAGTTACTGTTGCCCCTATGAAGTCAGCTGCATCCTGACTCTGCTTAGTCAAATCTATAAGCAAAGACGCTTGCACCCCTACAGAGCGTGGTGATTTTGGCGGAGTACTGCATCATCTGCTCGATCTCAGCAGCAGAGATTGTTTGTGGACTTTCCCAAACTGTCCCCCTAGCACCGACTGACTTCAGTGGTCCTACGGGGGATTCACAGCTGGCAGCTCTGCTCGGGAAACACCTCTAGTGCCTGCCCCACCTCCAGCTCCACCTCTGCTGGGGCTTGAGCTCCCTCCGTTTCCTTTCCCGATGCCACTACGGCAGGGCTCAGCAACGTTTTTGGGCAGAGCCCCCAAAACACCCATATAACCTCGCCTTGACAGATGTTGGCATGCCAGGGGCGAGCGGCAGGGAAGCCACGATACTTGCGGCAGTGCAGCCCCAGCCCCTTCCCCACCACCCGCCCCCCGGCACAGGTGCCGAGCAAGCTGTCTTCACGTGCCACACTGGCTCCCGTGCCGGGGACTGCCCACCCTGTTCAGCAGATGCGGAAAATGCAAGCCCTCAAACCCTACAACCTGACACTGGAGATGCAAGAAACGCCCTGAAATTACTTTTCATTCCCTAGGGGGGAAAGAAAAGAAAGAACTGGCTAGATTTCAAGTTGTCTTTTGCTTTTCAGAGATAACCTCGGTCCAAGCAGCCCTCTCTCTGCTGGGAGACGAGAGCTCGCCCCCCGGGCAGGACGCTGCTGTTTCCCGGCCCCTCGCTCCGGGGCTTTGCTCCGCTTCCCTTTCACCTGGACGAGCAGCCCCTGCCTCTGACTCCGGCGGAGTGCGGATCCAGGGCACAGCATCCCCCCGCACCTCCGCCCGCCAGGAGCGGACTTTTGCATGAGTCCCCCGTTTACAAAACTGTCCCCCGGCCGGTGGAACCCGGGACCCACGCGCGGGGCAGCGGGCACTTGGCCGGGGCAGGGCAGCTGCTCTGGCAAGTAAGTGAATACGCGCCGGGCACCTGCAGCCCGGAGCGCTAGGACGCTTGCTCGGGGGAGCAGCCTCGAACCCGGCTCCTAGCGCTGCCGGGCGGGCGCGCTACGGTTTGAGGCACCGCAGGACAACGAGCGCGCGGCGGCGCCGGAGCCTCTCATTGCCCGCGGCCCTGCCAGCCTTCCCGGGGCCGGGGCTGCGCCCCTCCATGCCAGCTGTGCGCGCGAGGGGGCTTCACACCGTGCACAGCTCTGCCACGCAGCCCGCCAGCAAGCAGCATTTTTATTTTTTTTATTTTTTTTTTGCAAAAATATTGATTTCTACAGACATACAAACATACTGCACAGATAGCTAGATATACATCAAGACTCGTAGTAGAGAGGATATCTTTTATTAGGCCAACAAGATTTTTTGCAAAAAAAATTATTTAATATATACATCTAGATATATAGAGAGATATCGAACTCTGCCTCTACCAACCTGTCAAGTGACCACTGTGGTACACTTGGCAGGTCAAAACATACTTTGACTTTTTTTTTTATTTCTTTTATTACATTTTCCATATTGCAAGCCAAATTAGCCAAAACAAATTCCAAATCCGAGAGTCCGTCCAGAACCACACGTGGCCGTACTACTGGCATACATCCTTCACCCCCATCTGGGGCTTCAGATGTTCCCAAATCCCTTGGCAGGTGTCCTACTTGCAGACTCCAGCCCAGACTTGGGGTTCGGATGCCCCTGGAGTTTTGCTTGCCCACAGCCATACAGACCCAGGGGCAAGCCAGGGAGGAGTCTCCCATTTCCATAAAGTGGGCTTAAAGCCAAGACCTTCCCACTCCAGCGGCTAAGTTACCTTGGCAAGCTACACTACCTTGGCAGGTACTATCCCAGTGCCAGAAAAGCGGTCTTCCCCAGTGAGGCTAGAAAGACCACGCCCCTGGTCAGTGTTTCCCTTGCCAGGTAGGCATAGACTAGGCTTGATCTGAGCCTTCAAGAAGCCAAAGCAAGCAGCAAACAGCACTTAACAGGCCAGGAAGGGCCTCAACCAAACCCCTGCCTCACCCTGACAGGCACAGAGGGCTTGTGCTGGGCATCCCCTGGCAAAACAGCAGCCCCATTTCCTTTGAAAGATAAAGAGCTTCAGCTTCCAGGTTCAGGACCTGTCCATGCTTCTCAGCCTCTAGCGGGCTAAGATCAAGTGTAGAAATGGATTTAAATGGCCATGTGTAGTGGAGGGTGCACCCTGGTCCACCCAAATGTGGACAGGACTCCCTACAAGAGCCTCATAGTTAGCTTCCCACTAGCCAGTTTCCAGTGGGAGGATTTTGGCTATGTGCTGACTTTATGGAAATAGGGGACTCCTCCCTTGCTTGCTGCTGCAGCTCATGGCTGAGGGCAAGCTAGACTCGGTGATGTCTGAACCCCAAGCCTCCGACTTGGGCCTGAATGTAGGATGCCTGCCGATGAATTTGGAAGTATCTACAACTTGCCAGTTGTAGTGCCACATATGGTGTTTGAACGATTGAGCTTTGCTCAGTGTAAAGGATTAGGAACTGATCTGGCTAATTTGACCTAGAGATTTCAAACAAGGTAGGGATGACTCAGCCACCTCCCAGTCTCTTCCTGGGGTTGAGGTTCCCCCATCTCCCTTGTGAGCAGATTTTGGTTTGAAATACAGGAGGCAGCTGGAGCATAATGAAGAAAGACAGTCTCCCTTGCCATCAAATACACACGACAGACTATCCACCAGATGGAGTGGGGCTGCTTACCACCTTTCTTCAGAACTTCCAGGGATGCCTGGGTTACTTCACCATCCGCACCAACGAAAGACTCTGATACACTGACTGCTGGGATTTCACCCATTCCACTCAGGGTGCAGTTAGAGTAGCCATGGGTGACTAGTGCCTCCTGAGTCAGGGGGAGCACTTGCCCCACAGTGGCCAGTCAGTGACCAGATGGGGCTGTCCCCCGTGGCCAATCACACCAACCTGGAAGTGCCTGGCGCCCCCACTCCCAAGCCGGCACTTACAGGGAGGGCACCAGTGCTCCCACTTGCCACCCTGCCCATCACCTAAGCAGGAAATGCTGTCAGGGGGTGCACCAGCACTCTCATGGGGTGCATGTGCACTGCCTGTACATCCTCTACACAGCACCACTGAGAGCAGTTCTCAACCTTCTGCACCTTATGTCCCACCTACGTAAGGTCAAAAAATCTTAGTTCCACTGGTTGACAAGCAGGGGGGGGTCCCCCAGAGGCGTTGAAGAGTAGTGGGGCAGGTTCCCCAGCCACCAATCGAAGTGCACAAAAGTTAAACCTGAAGTCCCGCCATGGCATTTCCAGTTTCACTGCCACAACCCAAGTCCCACCTAGAGGACCTTTGCCACCAGTTGAGAAACCTAAGCTAGAAGACAGAGCAGTTTAAAAGAACATGGGGTTGTCTAAAGTCAGCCACAGCCTCCACTACTGCTACTACAGGTATTGTAGCAGGAGAAAGCTGGTAGAAGAGTTTCTCTAAAGATCCAAGAACTGCATTTAACAAGCCAGAGTACAACGTAAGAACAGCATTCATGTGTCATGATCTGACTTCTCATGCCTTTTTTAGAACAGTGCTTCTCATGTGCACGTTGAAGGGCAGAGGAATGGGGATTTTTCTTTTTTTATACAAGGGATGGAAATGTCTTTTTTATGTACTAAGATTTAATTACCACACTCCTGGCTTACAGCAGTGATCTATTAGAAATGGAGACGGTTGATGTCATTAGAGACTTAGAAAACTAAGTCTCTGCTTTGATCCAGGCAGGCCATTACTGTTTATATATTCCTAGTTCTCAAAAATGTAAATAGTATTCATAGGATAGGATACTGCTTACTTGTTTGACCACTATCTGAAAGGAAAGTCACAAAAGACTTTTTGCTCGACTGGGAATACCTTTAACAAAGTACCCTGGCACCATTTTATTACTGGTTTAAACAGACAATTTGCTGAAGGAAAGACTATTGATTTGAAAATGAAAAGCCAAAGTCTTCAAGCCTGATAACACTAGCATTGAGTGTTATATTTATTCTATGTAAAGCAGCAAGAAAATGCCACATGCTTTAGTTCTTTCCTTTTAAAAAGGGAAACATTTCATTCCTTTTCCCCCGTTTATCTGTGTATTAACAGCAGCAGCTTTTGACTTGGTTACTTTGGCCACATATTAGGTAGCTATACAAAACGAGTCATATTGTATTAAGCTGGTTTATTGGACTGAAAGTTACCAAAACAGTGAATACAAGCCACTGGAGACCTTTGCAGAACATGAGAAGTCATTTCCCCACCCTTCCACAAAGTCTGCTTGCTTCTATCCAACCATGGATCTCTTTCTTCCCCTTAGTCGTACTTCATCCAATTTTTTGATCACTGGGCTCGATTTTTTTGACATAGCTGCGTATTTCTTCAACAGAGCTTCAAACAGAGTCTCTGTGTTTGGATGAGTACTAAGAAAGGCTTTCTCCAGGACATACAAATCAACCCCTTTATCCTCAGGTAGGCCAGATATAAAACTCAGTCCAAAGTCTATCAGCACGAGGTCCAGCTTCTCTGCTGGGGGCCGCAAGAGTATGTTGGACGTCGTAAGATCCCCATGTATAAGATCCTCATCGTGCATCCGAGCCAAAACCTCGCCTATCTTCTCTGCTAAGGTAAAGAGGCCGCTAGTGTCCTTTTCGCGCTGCTGTACAGAAATGATATAATCCCGAACAGTCATCGATCCTACAATATCTTCCAAATAGATACAGTTGGAGACATAATCCACAAAGTATACCACGGGTGCAGAAATGCCTATTTAAAATAAATAAATAAATAAATAAAAAGGATTGATGAGGCGCTAACTTTTAGGGCACAGAAATTCCCGAGCGACTTCCACCCTGCCCAGTCGCACGCAACGAAGATGGAAAAGGGCTTATATTGACCGCGTCAAAGCCCGAGGACCAGGTTAAGGGGTGTGATCTGAGCACGCCCCGACTGCAAAGAGTTTTGTCCGGCATCCTTGCAGGATCACCCCTTCCTTTCCCCTCCCCTCCCCTCCCCTGGCGCTGGGCCCGTCCTGCGCGGCGGGAGGCCCCTCAGGCCCGCGGGGAGGGGGCAGGGAGCCGGGCACCGGGTGGAAGCGGGTCCCGCGGCCCGACAGGAGCCTCGCGGGCTAGTGATGGAGACGGGATCACCGCTAAGCCCCGGCAGGGGGACCCCACCTCCACCCGCTGCAGAGACCTCCCACCTGCGCGGCGGCAGCGCAGCAGAGACCGCGCCTCCTGCGCCGTGCGCCGCCGGCTCAGCCGCTCCTCCAGCGCCGGGTGCCGGTAGCGCTTGGGGAAGCGGAGCTTGGCCACGACAGCGCGACCCAGGAAGCAGCCCCGGTAGAGCCGCGCCTCAGCGACCTGCTGCACCAGA